GTAAGCATGCAAATTAACCCCACAAAGATGGATGCTAATTTGCGTAAGCTGTTGTGGAGCATAGTGAAGCCTGCTATGAGGGGAAGGGGGCGACGGAGGGATCTCCTGGAGTGGTCCTCCAGACAGAAGGGAGGACTTGCCAGTTCCCAGGCAGCTGGGAGTGAAGCCAGGGGCCTATTCTTGCACGAATATCATGCAACGGGCCTCTAGTAAATAATAACACATTAATGATGAGAGAAAGGTGTGTGTCTGTGTTTTGTGTGTGAATGCTGGGGCCTCAACCCAAGGGTGTCACTGCCCAGGGGCTTCGGAGCCTCTGGAGCTGTTCCCACGTGGGTCCGTGGCAGTTGCCAGGCAGGGAAGGCCAGGGCCCAGGCCAGGGAGCTGCTGCTGCAGACAGACAGGGCTGGTCTTTGGTGGGAGCCTAGCTGGTGCCCAGCCTGGGCTGTTCCGAGTCCTCTCAGAACGCTAGGGGCCCCTCTCTACCTTGAGGAGCATTTCAAAGTCCAAGCCAAGCAAACGTCCTTACACAGCTGCCTCTGGCAGCCCCATCCTGGTCACAGAATACCCCTGTCTTTGGGGTCTGCTCTGTGCCGGGCACTTCGGTAAGCACCTCACTAGATTATCCAGCCCTCAAAGGGGAATCCTGGAAGTAAAGCGACTTGCCTACAATCACACTTCTAGCAAGTGGCCAATAAGCAGAAAAATCAGGATTCTTATGAGACTAAACATCATACTAGAGTCTGACCCATTCCTTGGCCTTAGATCTAAGAAGACACAGAAGCCCAGAGAGGGCAAATGCCTTGCCTTAGGTCAATAGCCAGTTAGCTTCAGAGCTGAGTTTTGACTGCAGGACAGGTAGGAGACTGAACTTGAGGACTCCGACTTACTCTCATCACTCTCCTGCCCTCCCCACCCCCAACGGCTCTTATGTGACACTTGACATTATCCATCACTCCCTCCCTCTGGGAACGCCCTCCTCCTCCAGTTTCCATGGCAGCACATCTCCCCGTCCTCCTCCAGTTTCTCCCACTCCACAGTGGCTCCTGAGCCTGGAGGATCCCTAGACTGGGTCCCCAGTCTCTTCTCCTATTGCTGCCCCAGAAGCTCATCTACATTCCCTCCAGGCCTCTAGCTCTGACCCTCTGACCTGCACGGCAGCTCCACTTGTAAAAATAACAGCCCCAGCCCCTGGTCAAACTCCTGGTTGAACTCCGGGTTGAGGGACAATTTGCATATTAGGCTTTTATTCTATAGGACAGTGTGATGTTTTTGTGGCCAGAAATCTTGCTTATATCAATTAGCCTATGTAAAATGGTTTTGTTATACATCATGTCACTTAAAATTGCACTTTCCAAAAACTAGATGAAGTTAAGGGGGGACTTGCTGTACATTAACTCATCAAATCCTCACAGCCTCGTGAAAGATGTTTACTCTACAGATGAGCAAACAGAGGCACCAAAAGGGAAAGCCAAGATCTGATTCCAGCCTCAACCACTTCTTCCATTACAAGAGATATGAAATTGTAGGAGGCAATAATTCCCTTCCCTCCCGCCTCCTGAAGAGAGAGAAATGGGAATTCGGGGGAAATCAGATCTAGTTTGAGAGCCCTGTGATGCTCTAGAACTACACTGTCAATTTGGAGCTTTAAAAATGTATGTTCAGTACACTTTGTTTTTTAAATAGATTTTTATTTATTTCAGAGAGGAAGGAGGAGGGAGAGAGAGACAGAAACATCAATGATGAGAGAGAATCATCGGTCGGCTGCCTCCTCCAGATCCCCTTCCAGGGATCGAGCCCACAACCCGAGCATGTGCCCCTGACTGGAATCGAACCCAGGACCCTTCAGCCTGCAGGTCGATGCTCTATCCACTGAGCCATACCAGATGGGGCTTCAGTACATTCTAAATTGCGAAGAGTTAGAGAGCATCAGGGGGAACAAAAGTTCGTGGAAAATTGCCCTTTTCTTCAAGTCTTTTCATTTGGTTTTAAGTCTTCAAAACCTCACCCCTCGGTTCTACGGCTCTTCTTCAATGATGTCTGGAATTCATCGTTAAATTCTTGGAAACTTGGACCCTGGAATTCCACTGACCCAAGTTCCGCTACCAGTAACAAGCTCTGTGACTCAGGGTGAGCAGCTTGACCTCTCTGAGCCTGACTCCTGGTCTAAAATAAGGGTAATCGTCCTGCTCCCACCCTGTCCCCCCAGGAATGTCGTCGGACACGTTCAGGTCTGCCACGCCCTTGAACACTTCCCTGTTTTGTGCACACGCTGTTCCCTCTTCTCAGTGGCCGACTCCTAGTCATGCAGCAAGGCCCCCAGACCCTTTTCCGGCCTCGTTCAGAATCGCTACACATCTGTTTCCGTGAAGAGCTAGAAAAGGTACTTCCTTGTGACACCCTCCCAGGGCTCCCTGTGGCTACACACCACAGGGAGACACAATCATCCATCGTTTATGCTTTGTCTCTAGTGCGGGCTTCGACTTCCTGAGGGCAGGACCGTACCTGACTCATGTCCAAGTCCCAGTGCCCAGCGTGCTCACAGCCCGGCATGGCACGTGTTTCCGTATGTTCAATGCTTTCCCTTAAACGCACATGGTCTGGACCCAGCCCCTGCTGACCCCAGGACAAATGTATGTATGAGAAGCAGTAAAAGGGAGCCAGTCGGTTATAGCCACAGAACACGGTAGTGAACAGGCCTGGGGCAACCTTGAGCAGCCCGTTCTAGGAAGAATTAAAGGGGACACGGCAATTGCAAGGAAAATAAACAGACTTGGTCCCAGCATCACCCCCTTCGGGAGTCTCCCCTGGTTCCTAAATTGTCTGCTTCCTCTGACATCTCCCCAAGGCATTCACACGAGGGGGCCCAGGGGAGGAGTGGTGAGGAAATGTTCCCATCCAGCTGATACCCACCCCCATTCGGACACAGAGAGCCCATGGTCACAGGCTCCACCTGAAGGGTGAAAGCGAGCAGGGACCCCAGACCTAGGTAACTTTGCAGGTGGGTCTGAGTGCTGGGCACAGCCCCCCATCTTCCCAAGGCACTAGGGGGGCCTCTCTCGGAAGAAAGCAAGTCCCAGTTTTTCAGCTCCGGGGACCTCACCCTGAGGAGGGGACTGTGCTTTGCCCACTAAGGGTATCCCTACACCTAATGTACCCAGAGCCCACCCTGGGGCCCCAGCCCCCACCTTGCTGAATGCCAGTTCAGCCCCTGCTGAGTGACAGCCTCCCAGACACAGGAAAGGCTTTTGTTCCAAGGAAATGGCTGTCAAAGGGAGAAGAGGTTCATTGTTTCTTTTCTCCCCCCCACACCCCACTTTTATTTCTTTTTTCTTTTTTGCTTGAGACAGACGTCAATGTCTTTCCATCTGCCCCCCAAAGGAAAGATGATTAAATGTTTTTACAAGGATGTCAGAACACTGCTTCAATTGGGAGCCAGGGTGCTTGGCTGAGGCTGCGCATGTGTGAGGAAGGGGAAAGCGGGGGACGGGGGACGGGGGGAGGAGAGGAGAAGGCAGGGGGGGAGATAAAGCAAGGGGAGGCCAGGGACCAAGGACAGACCCTGGTACTGTGGGAAGCAAGGTCTGGGCTTGCCTCAATAAAATGCCAGACTAATGAAATGAAATACTCTCTGCCTAGCTCTGGTGGACCCGCCTCTCAGCAGCTTGAAGGGGGCAGCGAGAGCAGGTGGAGGCCTGGGGGTCCAGGGAAAAGGCAGAGGGGAGCACACACTGACAGGAGCATCGCAGTTATAAAAGCCTCAGAGTCACGTGGGCCGCTCCAGCTTTCTGCGAACACTGGACACGGCGGGGGCATCCAGAGGCGGTGAGAGAGAGGATTGTTGGAGCTTCTTCTCAGGGGCCCCAGGCCCGGAGCAGGGTGCAGGGAAGTCTGTGCTGGTGCTTCAGATGCCCGCCCTGTCCCCGGGGCACTTACCCACCTCAGAGCTCTGACCACAGTCCTCTGTCCTGCAGCACCTGGGCCAGAAAAGCCAGGGTCCTGGGGAGCCCCCAAAGGTCTGTCCACTGACCAGGACCTAACCTCAAAGCAGAACCAGCAGCACGCCCACCTCCACTTCCTGCCTCGGCCCTCCCCCCCCCCACCCCTCGGCACGGAGACCAACCAGCAGCTTCGGTTTTGGAACTGAAGCCACAAAGCCTCTTTGCTCCTTGTGAGCCCAGAGAGGGAGTCACGCTGAGGAGTCTGCCCCACCCGGGGCCCTGGTCTGCTCTATCCTGGAGCCACCCGCCCGGCCCAGTGTCCGCCCCCACCCCACCGAGGGGCAGCTGGGCTCTGCCTCCAGGCGGGGGCTCCCTGCCATTCCAAGGAAATGACTGTCCAGGAGGGAGAGGGTTTTTGTTTGTGTGTGTGTGTGTGTGTGTGTGTGTGTTTTCTCTCCCTCTCTATTTTTCTCTTCTTTTTATTTATAGGGATGGCAAGTTGGACCCGGTCCTGGGCAAGTCCAGCCCTGAGCCCCACCTCCTGCTAGAACTCAGGGCTGGGCCTCCAGCCCAAAGTGGAGGCCTCCGGCCCTGCACACAGGCCTATCGCTGCGGCCCTCCCTGTCCTGTCCTTGCGTTCAATCCAAGAAGAGGCCCCTCCTCCCTACACAGAGGCCCGATCTTGCAGCGCAATTCTCAAGCCACTGCCCCCTCCATCACTGCCCCATGGGTCCTGGCTGGGCATCTTCACTGGCAAGCCCAGCTCAGGGTCAGAACTTGAAGCTCTCCCCATGGGAGAGGCCCAATTTATCCGCCCAGTTCCAGAGCCACAGGTCCTGCTCCCCAGCTCCTCCTCCTCCTCCTCCTCCTCCTCCTCCTCCTCCTCCTCCTCCTCCTCCTCCTTCTCCGGCCAGAGCCTCTGACCAGGCCCTCAGTCCAGAGACACAACCCACCACTGCCCAGCCCTCCTCCCCGCCTCCGAGGTCCACCACAGGGGGTGCCCATCCCTCTGCTCCAGAGGTCCACCCACAAGGGGGCCCCAGCTCTCAGCCGTGGCTCCTCTCAAACCTGGGTCTGTTTTTCAAAACAGAGCCCCCCCCCCCCATCCTCCTGCGGCTCCCTGGCCCCCGCCACCCCCCCTTCGCCCTCGGTGTGGCCTCCAGGTCCCTCCGGAGGGGCGCGCCGTGCGCCGGCCGGGCCGGTCAGGCAGCGGTGCCCCCGGGACCCTCGGACGGGGTGCAGGCGGTGATCCGCTCGCGGACGGTGGCTTCCCGGGCGCGGCCGAAGGCGCCGGGCTCGGGGCGGCCGCAGGGCCAGCGGCAGAGGCGGCGGAAGCAGCGCTTGAAGTTCTCGTCCAGGAAGGCGTAGAGCAGCGGGTTGAGGCTGCTGTTGGCGTAGCCCAGCGCGATGCACAGGTGCAGCGCGGCCAGCACGAGCGGGTCGCGGCGGTCGATGTCCACCAGCGTCCAGACGATGACGAAGACGTGGATGGGCGCCCAGCACACCACGAAGGCGCCCACCACCACCAGCACCATGCGCGTGATGCGCCGCAGCCCGCGGTCCTTCTCCCGGGAGCCCGACAGCAGGCGCACGCTGCGCAGGCGCAGCAGCATCAGCCCGTAGCACACGGTGATGATGAGGATGGGGACCACGAAGGCGAAGAGGAACACGCAGACCTTGGTCACCGTGTCCCAGTACCAGCTGGGGCTGGGGAACTGGAGCGTGCACACCACCGCTCCGTCTGGGCCGCGGGAAGAAAGAAAGAAACACAGGCCGGGTGAGGGGGCTGGGGGCCTGAGGGGCTCGGCCGCCTGCCCACCCGCCCTTCTTAACCAGGTCAGGTCCCACTGCCTCCTCCTAAAGAGGCCCTATAAAGTCTCTGAGCTTATTGGTCTGACTCAGCAGCTGGGCCCTATTCCTCACTGTCAGCCTTCAGTTTACCGGCCATTAACTACAGCACTGCTGGGGGCTGCGCCAGATGGGCCTCCTCACTTCTCCCCCACCCCCCCTCTCTCTCTCTCACAGACACACACACCACTTCCCCCATGTGTGCCATCAGCACTCATATGCCACTTGCTGTGTGACCTTGGACAAGTGCTGTTGCCTCTTTTACTCCGGGTGATTCCTCCACCTGGGATATCTTGCACTGCACGTGACGAACGCTTATTCATCCTTCAAGACCCCAGCAGGATTGGCCCTAATACAGAAGGTCTTCCTATATTCTCTCCAAGTCCCTTTATAAGCCCAACAGTAATGCTATAATTTAGCCTAAGCTCCCTAAAGGCCAGTTATTATGATAACTGGAAACAGCTCACACATTTCCAAAGTAACTTCAGTGGGGTCAATATTGCTACACTGACATAGAGAGAATGAGTTTAAAAGCAGGACTCGGGTCCTATTAACGGAGTGGTGTGGCCTGGAGCAAATTATTGAAACTTCAAGAGCTTCCCTAAAGTGGGACTGACAGCAGCACCTAAACCTCACAGGTTTGTTGTGAGGAGTAACTGGGCCAGAGCATGTGAAGCACAGAGCACAGTGGGGTTCCAGCTCTCTGTGCACTCACAGGGCAGATACATGTGGGCGTCCAAAGGTCAGGGCTAGGGCTGGGAGCCAAAGCTCAGCCTCATGGCAAACACTTCTGACTGCCAGACTTGTCCAGAGATAAGAATGAGCCCCCTGTGTGGGCCTGGGCTGGACGCGCACCTTAGGGGATGCTGTGAGATACAGACACAGGCTGAGGCGGCCCAGGAGACGCCCAAGGTCTTTTGGAATTTGGAATTTGAGGAGCTACACAGTGGACTTGGAGCCTGAGGGTTGAGTAAAAGGGGCTGGGAATCCACAGACGGAAAGGGCCAGGGACGTCAGGGTGGCAGGATCCACATGGATAACTGAGTCCCAGACTTCATTGTGCAGATGGTAGGACCAGGCCCAGAGAGGAACAGCACTTGTCCAAGGTCAACACAGCAAGTGGCATATATCGATACATGCTGATGGCACACACTGGGGAAGTGGGGTGTGTGTGTGTGTGTGTGTGTGTGTGTGTGTGTTGAGGGGGAGAGGGGGAGAGAATGAGGAGGCCCATCTGGCCCAGCCCCCAGCAGGGCTGTAGTTAATGGCCCGTAAACTGAAGGCTGACAGTGAGGAATACGGCCCAGCTGCTGAGTCAGACCAATAAGCTCAGAGACTTTCTAGGGGCTGTGCCCTTGTGAGAGTCAGTGATGGCCAAGAAGCCTCCACCAAGCTGTTCCCCTCTCCCACCACAGCTCTGATGATCTGCAAACCTTCACCGCAGGGGCCAGGAGCCTTGGGTTTTAGGCCAAATTCCACCAAATGTCTGGCTGTGTGAAATAAACCATGGAGATGGGAGTCTCTGCCTTGTCTATCTCATAGGCTTAATTATCTTAATTGCTGCTATTTATTGGGCCTTGGCAATGAGCTAAGTATTTTACACTTACAACCCCATGATATAGTTTGTGGCTCGGAGAGGTCAGGGACCAGTGTCTTTGGCATCCGGCTGAACTACTTTTCCCACTTCTTTACATACTTGGAGTCATGTGACCAGCTATCACTAGGCAGAGATGGGCCATAACATTTAAAAGTGGTTGTGCTTTCTCACCGCTCCCTCTCCATATTCCTCTGCTGCCCAGATCCAGCCCTGGAGGATCCAAAACCATCAGGTGGGGCCTGGGTCCCTGAATGATGTGGGGCATAGAGACCCCCCCTCTTGCTTACAATGAACAGTAATGTGAGTAAGAAGTAAACTTCTACTGTGTTAAGCCACTGCACAGCTACCCTGACTGATAGAAGTGGTTACTATACTAATAATTACCATTCTGCTCTGAGGGAATGCACCTTTCTACCGTCACTCTCTGAAGGCCAATCTCTAGGCCTTGCTTTGGTCATTTGAGCCATTGACTTCACATTGGGGTGGAAGGGAATCTGGGATGGGACTGCCGGTCTTGTGGCCTCCGTTGCTCAGCCTCACCCCACTGGCCATCCATCTATCTCCTTAAAGAAACCCTCAAAAGTTTCTTTTGTCAGGGAAGTGAAATGACTGATCCAAGGTCACACAGTGATGGCTACGTGGCTACATGCTCATCAATCAGCCATCCATAATCCCATTGATAATTTCCTTTGGCCAGCAATCCATAAGTCTACTGACGAGCCATTCATCCACACCACAGTCAACCATTCCCATTCCTCATTGGCCAACCATTCCCATTCCCATTGGTTGACTATCCATATTGCCACTGGCCAGTCATCCACAATTTCATTGATCAGCAATCCATATCTCTACCCTAATAAGCCTATAAACCCACAGAGACCCCACATGTGCTGCCTCCCGTGGCCACTCACCCCGGGGACGGGTCACAGCCATGATCATGATGGGCACACCAACACCTGACGCCAGGACCCATATGCAGATGTTGATGAGCTTGGCCTTGGCGGGTGTGCGGAAGTCCAGGGCCTTGACAGGGTGGCAGACGGCAATGTAGCGGTCCACGCTCATCATGGTGAGCGTGAAGATGCTGGTGAACATGTTGTAGTAGTCGATGGAGAGCACGGCCTTGCAGAGCAGCTCCCCGAAGGGCCACGTCTCCATCAGGTACTTGGCGCTCTGGAAGGGCAGCGTGCTGGTGGCCAAGGCGTCTGCCAAGGCCAGGTTGAAGATGTAGATGTTGGTGGCTGTCTTCATCTTCGCGTACCTGAAGAGAAAAGGCATATATCACCGTTCCAACCCACAGACTCCAGTTCCACTGGAAACTCAGGGAGGTGAAATGACTGATCCAAGGTCACACAAAAGTCTGGGGCAGAGGAGGGATTATAAGCCTGACCTATCTGATTCAGCATCATTCCTTTCCACTCTAACAGACGGAAGGGCATTTATCTGGCTTGGAGTAACTTTGACAGAAGGTATTTTAGGGGGGGGGAAAACATTTTATCTTTTTTTTTTTTTAATATATTTTATTGATTTTTTACAGAGAGGAAGGGAGAGAGATAGAGAGCTAGAAATGTCGATGAGAGAGAAACATTGACCAGCTGCCTCTTGCACACCCCCTACTGGGGATGTGCTCGCAACCAAGGCACATGCCCTTGACCGGAATCGAACCCGAGACCTTTCAGTCCGCAGACCGACGCTCTACCACTGAGCCAAACCGGTTTCGGCAAACATTTTATCTTTTAAAAATAAAACGGCTCCTGAGAGAAACAGATCAAGGTTCTAACCTGCCTCTACAGTTTGTCAGCTGAGTGCTTCTGGGCTAGCAACTTGAACTTTCTAAGCCTTAGTGTCCACAACTGTAAAAAGAGGGACAATATTTTTACCAATCTCATTGAGTTGTTATGAAATGTAATGAGATGATACAGCACTTAGGCCAGAGCCCAAAGCTTGGTATATGATAGATGTTATTATTCTTCACATATAAAAATGAAGCTGGGTGCTAGACCAGAGTGACCCGACCCTTTACCACTGACCTGGCCTTCTGGGAATGTGATTGGCAGCTCTGAAGGAGGGACTCTGCCTAGCAGAATGATTAGGACCTTAGACCACCTGGAATGTCCTCCATGGGCTCCCAGTCCTTCCCACTGTCCTTTCCAGACTATCTTATTCCCATACAACTGGTCTCACCGAGCTGTGGGAAAGGGGAGCAGGGGACAGTGTCAGACTTTCAACACAGAGCACAGGCCCAGTTGTCCAAGCCAAATGTCCTCAACCAGGCCCTGAACCTGACACTCTCCAACACCCATCCCTCCATGGTCCACGCTGCCACACAGCTGCTTGCACCACCGTCGGCCCCTGTGTGGCCAACATTTCCAGTCCTGGGCCGGGCACCAGGTCTGCTGGAGGAGGCGCGCACACTGAAAGCAGTTCCAGTGCAATGTGATCATAGAAACACACCAGGACACCGAGGCAGGGGTGAGGACTGCTCTCATGTCCCTGGAGTGATCTGAGAAACCCAAAGAAGAGTTGTACGAGTGACTCTTCATATTTCAGATCAGAAGAACTCTGCGAGGCGGAGGGGAGTGCTTTTGTGAAAGTGTGGCCCAAGGACTTCCCTCACAACCATTGGAAGGACCTCAAGAAATGCCGATTCCCGCCGAAACCGGTTTGGCTCAGTGGTAGAGCGTCGGTCTGCGGACTGAAAGGTCCCAGATTTGATTCCGGTCAGGGGCATGTACGTTGGTTGTGGGCACATCTCCGGTAGGGGGTGTGCAGGAGGCAGCTGGTCGATGTTTCTCTCTCATCGACGTTTCTAGCTCTCTATCCCTCTCCCTTCCTCTCTGTAAAAAAATCAATAAAATATATATTTTTTTAAAAAAAGTTTAAAAACAAAGAAACAAACATAGACCTCCTTGACTCGCAGACCCAAGCTTCTCTCCACTCTGCCCAAGAGTGGGACTGCGCTTCTGCCTCTGCCCCTCTAGGCTGGACAGATGCGCGCCCTCAAGGTGTTTGGAATGACTGAATGGATTCTATCAGCTGAGGCTCCATGATGTCACTGATTTGTTTGGCTTTTATACTGAGTGACTCATTGTCCTCCAGAGCCAGCATCTGTCCCACTCCCTCCCAAAATAGCTGTCACTTGCCCCGCAGCTGGAGAAGCAAAAAGTTTTGCTCGAAGACAGCAGAATTGCAAGTCTTGGAAAGTCTGCCGTCAGTGGGGTGCGGGATCACAGCTGTGTGGGAGGCAGTCTCAACCCCACAGCTGACTCGTCTAATTTTGCTTCTTTTACGCAGAACAATTAGAGGCTGTTCTTCGCCTGCTATTTTGATTTATGAAGGCTCCTTCCATTCCCGGGGGGGGGCTGAGATGCTGGGAAGTAGGTGAGGAAGCTGCTGTGGCTGGTCCAGGCGGGGCTGAGAGGCCCAGCGATGCCGCCAGCCAGAGCCCCTCTCCTCACCGGCCTCCCCACCCCACAGCTAACCAGCACCCAGCCCTGTCCTGTTGGCCTCCTCTGACAAATCAGTCCGCTCTGCCCTAGATGGTTTTGCTCAGCGGTTAGAGCATTGGCCCTCGGCCTGAAGGGTTGTGGGTTCAACTGCCAGCCAAGGGCACGGACCTCAGGTGCTCGATCCCCAGCGCTGGTTGGAAGTGTGCGGGAGGCAACCAATTGATGTGTCTCTCGCACATCGATGTTCCTCTCTCTCTCTCTCTCTGTTTCTCCCCTTCCCTCCCTTCCACTTTCTCTAAAAATCAATGGAAAAAATATCCTTGGATGAGGATTAACCAAAATAAATAAATAAAAAACCATGCTGCTCTCCTGCTCTCAAGGCCAATTCCACAAACTGGCCCCAACCACCTCTCGGGCCTCAGCTCCCAGAACCTTCCCTGGATGGCTGCCCCCTGCCCCTCACTTCTTCCCTGTTCCTCGGACACATCAAGGCCAGGCCTCTGGCCTGCTGATCACTCTTCCTAGAAGCCTCGAGGCCCCAGGTGTGCATGGCTCGGTCCTTCACGTAACTCAGGGCTCCATTCAAATGTCGCCTCCCAGAGAGGCTGCCCTGACCCCCCATCCCTACCACCACGCTCTAGCTCCTAACGCTGCTTCCTTTTCTTTACATCACGCACTACCGCGTGGCTTAGCATTTATCTTCTTTTCTGTCCATGTGACTCTCTCACCCACATCCACTCCCTGAAGACAGGCCCTTTGTCCACTGTGTCCCCTGCTATGTTATCGGCCCTACCGACTGCGCCCGGCAAATAGCAGGCTTTCAATAGGCATCTGTTGCCAAAGCTGGTTTGGCTCAGTGGATAGAGCCTCGGTCTGCGGACTGAAAGGTCCCAGGTTCGATTCTGGTCAAGGGCATGTACCTTGGTTGCGGGCACATCCCCATTAGGGGGTGTGCAGGAGGCAGCTGATCGATGATTCTCTCTCATCGATGTTTCTAACTCTCTATTCCTCTCTTCCTCTCTGTAAAAAATCAATAAAAAATATTTTTTTTAAAAAAATAGGCATCTGTTGTGTAGGTCAGGTCTCCCCAGCTGGTCCGGGGACCACCGCAGCAGCCTCTCCACCCCTCAGGTCATCATCCACATAAGCCGGGAGCTCACGGCCACAGGCAGATCGGCTCGGGGCACGCTTCTGCTTACAGTCCTCTGTGGCTCCCCATTGCCAGCTGGGTAAGAGCCGAGCTCCTCAGACGGGCCTTCCATCTGTGCGGGCTCCTTTCCCACAGTGCCTCCCGCGCCAGCCACTCCACCGCGCGTCCCTCCCCGAGAGACAGCCACGGTAATGGTGTGGCGGGAATCCTTCCGAACCACATAGAATAAACAAGGGGCCGAGAAGTACTGTCTTGTATGCCTATAGCTGTTTATAAAATTCTCTCTCTGCCAGTGTAATACAGTGACATCCTATGAAAAGTCACATCGCACTCTAACGAGAAGAGGTGCCCCTCAGCCCTCCCCTCCCCCACCCTCCAGAGCCTCCCCTTTCCACGTGTTCAGTTATCCTTCTCATTATTACCTCCATCCTCTTAAACAGCACGTTGAAACGGTGGTTTCACGTGAGACAGTAATGAATGTTTGTATTCGCTCGAGCCGGGCTAGGCGGCCGTAACAGACAACCCCCAAGTCTCAGGGGCTTCACACAACCAAGACAGCTGCAGGGCCATCCACGCTCTGTCTAGCTGCAGCACAGCCTTCCACCGGAAGCCGATGGGCTAGAACTATCATGGCCCCAGCCAACAGCAAGGGGCTGAGTTCAGTCTTGTATGTGCCCAGAAGCAGGAGAACCGGGTATTACAGAACACTAGGATGTCCTCCACACTCCCCGTTAATGGACTCTCTCACCACCCAACTCCACCGCCCTCTCCTTTCTTCCAATACAGTTTTACCACCATTTTAAAATGTAAGTGAAACTGATATTCAAGGTTCATATCCCTTTTTTTTTTTTTTTTTTTTAGGGTTTACATTCTTATGACTTTGTCGATATTGTCCAGCTGAGCCAAATGGTATGCTATAATCACATTTATTTTCTTTCTTTTTTAAAATATATTTTATTGATTTTTTTTACAGAGAGGAAGGGAGAGGGATAGAGAGTTAGAAACATCGACCAGCTGCCTCCAGCTGCCTCCTGTACACCCCCTACCGGGGATGTGCCCGCAACCAAGGTACATGCCCTTGACCAGAATCGAACCCTGGACCTTTCAGTCTGCAGGCTGACGCTCTATCCACTGAGCCAAACTGGTTTCGGCTCACATTTACTTTCTAATACAGATTTTTGTTTTTCCTGGAATAACTGCCTCCTTTTTTCCATTTGTACACATATTGCTATATTTCCTCAAACATTCCAGCAGATGCATAAAATGCCTTTCCCATACAGTCACTTACCAGTGCCTTCTCTTTTCCTAATGATCCATCTCCTGGAGTCACCCTCCTGCCTCCCCACCCCACCCCTCTCTTTTTTTTTTAATCCTCACCAGAGGGTACTTTTCCATTAATATTTAGAGAGAGTGGAAAAAAACAGAGCGAATGCCCTTGACTGGAATCGAACTCGGGACCCTTTGGTCCACAGGTCAACGCTCTATCCACTGAGCCAAAGCGGCTAGGGCCCTCCTTCCTTTTCAATCTGCCGGTAGTTTCTTTCCGGACCAGATGCACACCTGTGCTCCTGTGTTAGAGCACCTGCTATCTGGCTTACACAGCTTTTCTTTTTTCTTTTCTTTTTCCTTTTTAAAAAAATATATCTTATTGATTTTTCACAG